AGTAACTTGTAGAATTAGGTTGTGTTAAGTAGGATAGGCAAGATATAGAACTGGAGAATCTGCTATATGCATTATGAATGCATATAGCAGGGGAGAGTAATCTCCCCTGAAGGCATAGATTACGTAGAACTGTTGGCCTGGGAACCCACCAACGACCTTCAGTAGCTGTCTGCAGTCTGTTATTGCACATGGTTTCCGTGGGGATTTTGGTGGGTTTCGGGCTTTGGGTAGTGGTAGTGGTGGGTGTTCTACGTTTTTTATGCCTTTGGCCAAACTGCAAGGTTAATATTTTGTTTAAATCGTCTTGATGTTACCTAGACCCCCTTTGAACTTACCCAGACCTCCTTTTATCTTACCTAGACCCTTCTTGATCTTACGTAGACCCCCTGATCTTACCTAGAGCCCCCTGACCTTACCTAGATCCCCTTGATCTTACCTAGGCCCCCTTGATGTTACCTAGACCCCCTTGATCTTACCTAGACCCCCCTTGATCTTAGCTAGCCCCCCCTGATCTTACTACGACCCCCTTAATCTTGCCTAGACCCCCCTGATTTTACCCAGACCCCCCTTAATCTTACCTAGACCCCTTTGATACTACCGAGACCTTTCTTGGTCTTACCTAGACCCCCTTATCTTACGTAGACCCCCTATCTTACCTAGACAACCTGATCTTACCTAGACCCCATTGATCTTACCTAGACCTTTTGATCTTGCCTAGACCCCCCTAATCTTACCTAGACACCATTGATCTTACCTAGACCCCTTAATCTTCCCTAGTCCCCGCTGATCTTAGCTAGTGCCCCTGGATCTTTCCTAGTGCCCCTGGATCTTTCCTAGAGCCCCTTGATATTACCTAGACCCCCTGAACTTACCGAGACCCACTGAACTTAACGAGACCCCTCTGATATTACCTAGATCCCCCTTGATCTTACCTAGAACAATTGATCATACATAGACCGCTCTGATGCTACCCAGACCCCCCTTCATCTTACCTACACCTCCCTTGACCTTACCTGCACCCCCCTGATCTTACCTACATCCCCCACATCTTACCGAGAACTCCCTGATCTTACCTACACCACCCTTGATCTTGCCTAGACCGGTTTGATGGTACCCAGACCCCTTTGATCTTGTCTAAAACAAATTTGAGCTTACCTAGACCCCCTTGATCTTTCCTAGACCCCTTGATCTTTCCTAGACCCCTTGATCTTTCCTAGACCACCCTAATGTTACCTATGCCCCTTGAACTTCCCTAGACCCCCTCAGCTTACCTATGCCCCCTGATCTTACCTACACCCCTTTATCTTACCTAGACCCCGCTAATCTTACCTAGATCCCCTGATCTTACCTATACCCCACTGAACTTACCAACACCCCCTTGATCTTACTTATACCCCCTGACCTTGCCTAGATTTCCCTGATCTTACCTAGAACCCAATGTTCTTAAGTTTACCTCCCTCCCCCCCCTTTTGTGCTGCCACTGCTCTACAAATTAGTAAGGACTATACCTGGATTATGTTGCATAGTTGTGTTGTATATAACACTTTGTAGGTATACAATTATTTAGTTTCTACTATCAAAGTAACTTGTAGAATTAGGTTGTGTTAAGTAGGATAGGTAAGATATAGAACTGGAGAATCTGCTATATGCATTATGAATGCATATAGCAGGGGAGAGTAATCTCCCCTGAAGGCATAGATTACGTAGAACTGTTGGCCTGGGAACCCACCAACGACCTTCAGTAGCTGTCTGCAATCTGTTATTGCACATGGTTTCCGTGGGGATTTTGGTGGGTTTCGGGCTTTGGGTAGTGGTAGTGGTGGGTGTTCTACGTTTTTTATGCCTTTGGCCAAACTGCAAGGTTAAATATTGGTTTACATCGTCTTGATGTTACCTAGACCTCCCTTGAACTTACCTAGACCTCCTTTTTCTTACCTAGACCCCCCTTGAACTTACCTTTGACCTCCTTTTATCTTACCTAGACCCCCCTTGAACTTAACCAGACCTCTTTTTGTCTTACGTAGACCCCCTGATCTTACCTAGATCCCCTTGATCTTACCTAGGCCTCCTTGATCTTAATTAGACCCCCTTGATCTTACCTAGACCCCCCTTGCTCTTACCTAGACCCCCCCTGATCTTACTACGACCCCCTTAATCTTGCCTAACCCCCCTGATTTTAAACCCCAAACCCCCCTTAATCTTACCCCAACCCCTTTGATACTACCGAGACCTTTCTTGGTCTTACCTAGACCCCCTTATCTTACGTAGACCCCCTATCTTACCTAGACAACCTGATCTTACCTAGACCCCATTGATCTTACCTAGACCTTTTGATCTTGCCTAGACCCCTTAATCTTCCCTAGTCCCCGCTGATCTTACCTAGTGCCCCTGGATCTTTCCTAGTGCCCCTGGATCTTTCCTAGAGCCCCTTGATATTACCTAGACCCCCTGAACTTACCGAGACCCACTGAAATTAGCGAGACCCCTCTGATATTACCTAGATCCCCCTTGATCTTACCTAGACCAATTGATCATACCTAGACCGCTCTGATGCTACCCAGACCCCCCTTCATCTTACCTACACCCCCCTTGACCTTACCTGCACCCCCCTGATCTTACCTACATCCCCCACATCTTACCGAGACCTCCCTGATCTTACCTACACCACCCTTGATCTTGCCTAGACCGCTTTGATGGTACCCAGACCCCTTTGATCTTGTCTAAAACAAATTTAAGCTTACCTAGACCCCCTTGATCTTTCCTAGACCCCTTGATCTTTCCTAGACCCCTTGATCTTTCCTAGACCCCTTGATCTTTCCTAGACCCCCTGATCTTTCCTAGATCCCCTGATCTTACCTAGACCACCCTAATGTTACCTATGCCCCTTGAACTTCCCTAGACCCCCCTCAGCTTACCTATGCCCCCTGATCTTACCTAGACCCCGCTAATCTTACCTAGATCCCCTGATCTTAACTATACCCCCCTGAACTTACCAACACCCCCTTGATCTTACTTATACCCCCTGACCTTGCCTAGATTTCCCTGATCTTACCTAGAACCCAATGTTCTTAAGTTTACCTCCCTTCCCCCCCCCCTTTGTGCTGCCACTGCTCTACAAATTAGTAAGGACTATACCTGGATTATGTTGCATAGTTGTGGTGTATATAACACTTTGTAGGTCTACAATTATTTAGTTTCTACTATCAAAGTAACTTGTAGAATTAGGTTGTGTTAAGTAGGATAGGCAAGATATAGAACTGGAGAATCTGCTATATGCATTATGAATGCATATAGCAGGGGAGAGTAATCTCCCCTGAAGGCATAGATTACGTAGAACTGTTGGCCTGGGAACCCACCAACGACCTTCAGTAGCTGTCTGCAATCTGTTATTGCACATGGTTTCCGTGGGGATTTTGGTGGGTTTCGGGCTTTGGGTAGTGGTAGTGGTGGGTGTTCTACGTTTTTTATGCCTTTGGCCAAACTGCAAGGTTAAATATGTGTTTACATCGTCTTGATGTTACCTAGACCCCCCTTGAACTTACCTAGACCCCCCTTGAACTTACCCAGACCTCCTTTTATCTTACCTAGACCCCCCTTGAACTTACCCAGACCTCCTTTTATCTTACCTAGACCCCCCTTGAACTTACCCAGACCTCCTTTTATCTTACCTAGACCCTCCTTAATGACGAAAATAACGAAAACCTGTGTGATCTAAAGTGTTAGTCAGCAGAAATACTTCACCAACATCTGATGAGTATAGTTAGGGGGGTGATTTAGATTGGTATTAGTGGGAATGGGATTATTAACCTTGCTGGGTTAGTAACCAAGAAAAATAGAGGTAGAGAGGGGGGGGAGCTTGACTGTAGTGGTCCTCAGGTTGTCTGCCATAACTGGTAGGTAAGGTAGGTTATAAATACAGGCTTAACACAGTAGTATATTAGGAAACTGGTATATGACAGAGCTCCAACTGGTTACATAACCCGTACATAACTGGTTAGATAACAGTAGCAGTTGTTAGCCTAGTGTGCTACGAGGGACGTGGAAGGATAGGGGAAATAATGTCCTAAGTACCTTCATGTTAAATTTGGATACTCGTCTGTGTGGCCTGGTGGCTACAGCTCCCGCTTCACACACGGAGGGCCCGGGTTCGATTCCCGGCGGGTGGAAGCATTTCGACACGTTTCCTTACACCTGTTGTCCTGTTCACCTAGCAGCAAATAGGTACCTGGGTGTTAGTGGACTGGTGTGGGTGGCATCCTGGGTGTTAGTCGACTGGTGTGGGTTGCATCCTGGGGGACAAGATTAAGGACCCCAATGGAAATAAGTTAGACAGTCCTCGATGACGCACTGACTTTCTTGGGTTATCCTGGGTGGCTAACCCTCCGGGGTTAAAAATCCGAACGAAATCTTATTTTATCTGTCAGGGGGCATCTTGATACAAGCAGTTGCAAGTACCCTCCCCTTCCCTGGATCAAACCTGATTGCCTAACATTCCCAAAGCTGTGTATAACCCCCTGTGGATAATATCAATCTAGTCATAGGAAATTGCGTTTGGGTATATATACAAGTACGTAAAATAGTTTAAATGGGAAGGGGGGGGGGATAGCGGTAAACTCTCGGGGGACAGGTCGACCAAAGTCAATGAGATTTGATTCAGAGAAGAGTAGTGCAAGTTGATTTTCTCAAGACTTAAAAAAACTAAGTCACGCACATATAAATATCCTTTGAATAGACTCACGAAATCGTAATGACACGATTGCAAACACTCCATACCAGGAGTCTGGGTAGAACCCGCGATCAGTCACAAAACTCCAGACCGACTCTTTAGCCACTGGGCCAGCTGGCCACAATAAGACAAAACGTGTCTTATTGTGGCCAGCTGGCCCAGTGGCTAAAGAGTCTGGAGTTTTGTGACTGATCGCGGGGTTCTAACTTTACTCCTAATAAACCATGCTAGGGGTTGTCTTGACTAGCTTGTAATACAGAGTTTTACCCTCCAGCTTAACTGGTCTCCAGTGGTCTTTGTCATGAGGATTCTGCGGCAGAGATTAATGTCTTATAAGACAGTAAATGTCTTGTGCACACGGAGTGTTTACCGCGAAGTCAGTTGTACAAGACTACCGTCAGGAAGGTCAGTGTTGCGGCAGTGTACAAACACCAGGTCATGCATTAAAAATGTATCATACCTCAAACTACTAATAATGGCAGTAACGAGGCGAACAGCCTTATTACTGTTGTTGTTAGTAGGGTTGAGGTAGGTATTTTTTTTTTTTTCCCCGAGCTTAGAGCTCCCAAGTTGTGTGAATGTTGTCTCCTGCTGATAAATACAGCAGTTGAGGCTTGTCTCAGTTATTTCCGGTGTTCATTGAACACCGTGTGTGTTCCTTGAACACTGTTCATTGCACATTTTTTTGTGTTAAACAAAAGACAACTTATTTATTTCATTTTAATTGATGCTCTTAATTGGATTTAATTGGATAATTTTTAGTAGGTTAAAGTCATTGTTGTGGGCAGCTGCTGTGGTCAAGACAGTCTTGTGGGCAGCTACTGCTGTGTGGTCAAGACAGTCTTGTGGGCAGCTACTGCTGTGGTCAAGACAGTCTTGTGGGCAGCTACTGCTGTGTGGTCAAGACAGTCTTGTGGGCAGCTACTGCTGTGTGGTCAAGACAGTCTTGTGGGCAGCTACTGCTGTGTGGTCAAGACAGTCTTGTGGGCAGCTACTGCTGTGGTCAAGACAGTCTTGTGGGCAGCTACTGCTGTGTGGTCAAGACAGTCTTGTGGGCAGCTACTGCTGTGTGGTCAAGACAGTCTTGTGGGCAGCTGCAAATCTTCAGAGACCACAACCAACAGCAACACCCCTAAAACGTCTGCAAAGATACAAGTAAGAACATTAGATTATTCATGATTTGCAATGAGCAACACTTTAAAAGTCTATCTACTTAAAATGTTTCCTTCAACAATTTGTCGAAGACATTACTAAATGGTTTTCAAAATTGATCTATCCAAAATTACCATGGAAATGGAGTAACCCAAGTCCTTTACATTACCACAGGTTGATGGAGCTGGAAGAGCTGGAGGTGTTGATGGAGTGATGGCTGGCAGAGGAGTGACTAGTGGCGCCACAATTCTTGACCTCCATGACTAAATGGCGCCACTGGAGGAAGTGGGTGATGACGTCAGTGGTTGTTTGTGGGGGAGGGGGAAGGTAGTTAGTGGAACGGGTCGGGGATTGGCTGCTGGTGGAGGGGATTGAGGGGGTGACTAGTTAGCTGTTACCAGTAGGAGGGGGGAAGGTTGTCATTTGATAATTACTAATGGCCAAACACAGACTTATTAATGTGTTAAGGGGGTTTGAATATTGATATTTCAGACGCCTTGGACACTACCCCAGATCTCTTGCGGGTTCAGTGTTTAGTTTTGATCAGGGTCGGACTTAGACCTTGGGGGCCCCGGGGAACATTAAGTTTCGGGCCTCCAATTTGCAAATTAAACTGAATTATAAATAAGGAAAGAACTTAATGATAAAGAGCAGTTTTCTAAAGTTACAGTACCAGCAGCTACTGTAGGATGCCTACAGTACCAGCAGCTACTGTGGTTACCTACAGTACCAGCAGCTACTGTGGTTACCTACAGTACCAGCAGCTACTGTAGGTTACCTACAGTACCAGCAGCTACTGCGGTTTACCTACAGTACCAGCAGCTACTGCGGTTACCTACAGTACCAGCAGTTACTGTAGGTTACCTACAGTACCAGCAGCTACTGTAGGTTACCTACAGTACCAGCAGCTACTGTAGGTTACCTACAGTACCAGCAGCTACTGAGGTTACCTACAGTACCAGCAGCTACTGTAGGTTACCTACAGTACCAGCAGCTACTGTAGGTTACCTACAGTACCAGCAGCTACTGTAGGTTACCTACAGTACCAGCAGCTACTGTAGGTTACCTACAGTACCAGCAGCTACTGTAGGTTACCTACAGTACCAGCAGCTACTGTAGGTTACCTACAGTACCAGCAGCTACTGTGGTTAAGTACAGTACCAGCAGCTACCTGTAGGGTTACCTTTTATACCCCA